AGTAGAAATTAAGTAGATATATTTATTAATAAAATATTCATAATGTACTATTAGGGTTCACTCTTACAATATGTACTACTAGGGTTCACAATACCCACTCATATACTACCATAAATACCCCTCAAGGGGCCAAAGGTAAAAAGAGGTCACTCTTACACTAAGATGACCATCCTCCTCCACTCTCTCCCCCAAAATACTCTCAAAATAAGCATTGTTTGGCATCTAACTTTGGTGTCAGAGGCTCCGCCCCGGGGTCCACAAGCAGCCCTTCAAGGCCCGGTTAGTCAATTTTTTACCGAAACACTTTTAGGCCTTGTTTAATTCAACTTATTTTTACGTATTTTAGAAAAAATAAGTTCAGATTAGATCAGATGAGAAAAAATAAGTTCATATAATATCAAATCAGAAAAAATAAGTTCTGATCAGATCATTATTTTATGTGCAATTTTTTGTCGCTTAATATCTTTAATTTTGTAATGAAAAAATTATGAAAATTACATATTAATAAAATACACATTATTACGAATCTAACAAGATCCCACTTGATATATTTTTTCCTTAAAGATTATCATACATTTAAGGTTAAAGTTTGGTCAAATCACACAATAAAATCAGATCAGATTAGACCATATCAGACCAGACCAAACTAGATCATATAAGTTTAGATAAGCAAAAAGAAGGTGAACTAAACAAGAGTAAGTCTTAGCCCTGCACGATGTTGTGGATAGTACAGGGGCATTATAGGTATTTTACATCAAGCATAGGGGCAACGCTAGAATTTCACGCTAGAATTAGAAAATAATGGTATTCCAACAACTGTAGTTTTCGAGTTATAACATGATAATGTCATAGTAGAGAAAAATGGAAAAAAAAATTGAATTAACTGATAAACAAAGACAACATATTGTTCAAGAACTTATTCTAGCACAAGAAAGAAAAAGGTACTGCCCATGGGGGAAATCAGTACCAAAGGGTTCAATTACAAAATTAGCATACAAATATAATATACATAGGACAACTATTGGAAGAATTTGGGCAAAAGCTAAGGGGCAGTTTGGGGGACATAGAGTCATTGATGTGTGCAGCAGAAAAAGACAAAGGGGAAGGAAGAGATTAGACTTTGATCATACAATTTTAGCAACAATACCAATTGAAAAAAGAACCACCATTAGAGGGTTAGCTGAGGCACTGCACTTAAGTCATACAACAGTCTATAGGTTGCTTAGAAATGGCATACTTAGGGCACATACAAATAGCATAAAACCATCACTTCAGCATCACCATAAAATTAAAAGAGTGCAATTTATAATGGACAGTGTCATTCCGGGAACGGTAAATGAACTTCCTAAGTTTAGTGCAATGTATAACATGGTGCATATTGATGAAAAATGGTTTTACATGAGTGATAAGACTCAAAGATTTTATCTTTTCCCGTGGGAGGATGACCCTTACAGAGCAACTCAGAGTAAAAATTTCATGGAAAAGGTTATGGTTATGGCTGGGACTGCTAGACCTCATATTTGTAATGATGGGGAAATATTTAAGGATGGAAAAATTGGTGTTTTTCTTTTACAGAACAGGTAGCAACAAAGAAAAACTCAAAGAACAGAGTGGCAGGCACAGTTGAGACAAAGGCTTTGCAATTAGTTACTAAAGCTGTTATTAGGTCAATGTTAATTGATAAAATGCTTCCAGCAACCATATCCAAATGGCCATTAGGAGCATGCAAGGAAATATGGATACAATAAGACAATGCTAGACCCCACATCAGCCCTAATGATACAGATTTCTTACAAGCTGCAACTTTGGATGGTTTCAACATCAGGCTTATAAACCAGCTAGCCCAAAGCCCAGACCTCAATATTCTGGATTTGGGTTTTTTCAGAGCCATTCAATCAATTCAGTATAAGGAATTTCCAAGAAGTTTAGAAGGGTTATTACAAGTAGTTGAAAAAGCATACAACACATATGATCCAAAGTCTTTGAATTTCACTTGGTTGCACATGCAATACTGTATGCTGGAAATCCTTAAGGGAAATGGGGGAAATCGATATAAAAACCCTCACAATGGAAAGAAAAAGCTTGAAAGAATGAGACAGCTGCCCGTTCAAATAGAAGTACCAAATGAATTAATGGTTTAAGGTCTAAGTTTCCTTGAACATGGACAGATTGATGTCAGTATTGCCCAACCTAGTAATACTTCTGTCTCAAGGGACTTAAGAAAAGTGTTCCAGGAAATTGCATTTACAAGGCTTTAATAGTGGAAATAGGCACAGGGACTGCCACACATAACCGACATTTTGTTTACACAATGAGCTTGTAACATATTTTAATCCTCTTTGGTTATGTGTACTTTTGTTTTTTGTAGTTTTTGTCTAAGGCAGTCATGTTAGTAGACATTTTGTGAAGGGACTTAATTTGTAGCTAACTTTAACATTGTATGAAGTCTTCCAAATTACTAGTATTGTATATGAAAGTCACCTTTTATTTTTTTGCACATACATTTACAAGCATGCATACATTACTTCCAAGTCACACTAAACATAGGGTGGTTAATCCATCACAGGGTGTCATTTTTTCTCAAAAAATGATGCCCAAACCATGTTACCTCAACAGTAAGTGCACAACACTAAAACTGGAGCAAATCATAGTTTGGACCACTTTTAATCAACTGAGTCCCTTCATCATATGGATTATTAAAGGGCATGAAAAAAATGAAATAGGGACTCATTCCACTAGGGAAAAATACCCAAAAAAAGGGACTAACAAAGGCAACAAGGAGGTACTAATTAAGAACTTCAAAGGGATACAATGCAATTGCAGTTACTGTCTTGAAAACAGAGGGACTCAATGCAATGCATACTCTCTTGAAAACAGGGAGTTCTCTCAAATATTTTCATCGATAACAAGAATTAACATTGCTCACACACATCATTCAGTCAATTACAGTCCCTCATATGCAAGGCATCACGCATCAGGCAACATTGATCACATTGATCAGGCAACATTGAACACTACACAACATGCATTCAACAGTATGCAATGAAACAAAACCGAATACTCAATAGGCAATGAGGCAATAGGCAGGGGACTCCTTCATTGAACAATAGGCAATGAAACATAACCAACCAACAACAGATTAATCCAAGCATAACAGCACATCAGCATAATCAAATCGTAACAGCAACATTAGCTTAATCAAATCATAACAGCAACATCAGCATACTCCAATCATAACAGCAACAACAGCATAATCCAATCATAACAGCAACATCATATTAATCTACCACCTTGGCCAGCAACTTTTGTTGCTGGCATCCATTGGCATTCACACAAACAACACTTCACCAATCAACCTAGTATACTTCGTATAAAAAAAAACAAAAAAAAAACGAAAAAGGGCTAGATTAGAAATTGTTAGTCTCATTGCAAATTCCATTCGCTTACTGTCAGGTCAATTAGAAGCTTCACCAAATCTCATTCGCTTACTCTCAGGGGAAGCATCAGATTCGCCAACAGGGTGGGACTCATATTTCTCATCATCATCGTAAATTGGTGTTATCTTAGCACCAATCCCATACATTCTTCTCATTTGTGCAGTAGAAACCCTAGGCATCATCTTAGGATATTGGTTAGGTCTAGGTCGTGTATAGGACTGTGATTTGGGTTTGTTAGCACGACCCAACCCAGATCTTGCACCCATCTCAGAAATAGATCCGAGTCCTTTACAAGGATCCGAACTCGCATCATTCACCATCTCAAAAAAATTAGTCACTTGTTGTGAAGAACAACCAGACCCAAACTTTCCGGCAACCGTAAGAGCATGGCATTTGACCTCCCCTTCCCCAACTATCGAGCCAATAGAAAGTAATTTCTCACCGGCTTCCTCTTCTTCAACAGATCTGAGAACTTTACCAATCGCAGCAAAGGTTCGTTGGCTGAAAATGTCGCCACCTTTGCCCGACATGTAGAACGATTTAGGCCAGGAAGCCCGTTCTTCAAAAGCTTCAACAAGAGCAACAATGAAACCCTGCTCAATTTCATCGTCACTCGCAAAGAGGGCTTCGTTTAGGGGAGATAGATCCATTCTAGGAGGAGGAAGAGAGGAAAAACAACGAGGAAGAGAGGAGCAACAAGGACGCATATCCTTTCAAGAGGAGAGAGAAAGAGGAATAGAGGAGGAAGAAAGAGGAAACAACGGCTGTTGAAGAAGGAAGGGAGGAGAGAGAATGAGAAAAGTCAGGAAGATGAAGAACCTTCAAGAACTAGGGTTTGAATTGTGCAGATCCAAATGATAAGTGGGCTATTGAAAGAATTTATCAAGAGTCTGTCAAAACTATTTATCATGTTATTGTAATTTATTAGAAAAAAGAATTGGTTGCTAAAATAAAGGGGTTTAATTTGGTAGGTGGGAGAATAATAAGTGGGTTATGATGTTATTGTAAGAGGGGTAAAAAAGTAAATGTACAAGTAATAATTTGCCAAAAAAGGAATTGATGCAATAAAAAGTAGGAAAAATTATGTAGAACTACCCGGAAGATAGGCTGTTTTGTGAAGAACTACCCATTTTTTTTTTATTTGTTTACAACTACCCGCAAGTTTGAAAATGTTTGGGTAGCACTACCCATTAACGTTTTCCATCCAAAAAAACGTTAGTGGGCCCCACATTGTACACGTGTCATTTTTTTATTGGATAAAAAAAATAAAAAACAAACCCAACCAGCAACCCCAACCACCGTGAAACCCTAGCACATACCCCAGCCACCACCAAAATCCGGCCGGCCGCCCTCCTTAACCTCCGAAAACGGCCGGCCACCACTGCCACTAAAACCTACATTACAAGTCGTCTTCTCTCTCTCCTCTTTTCTTCTTCTCGAAGCCAGAGCATCACCAACAACGCTCCACCCATTTTCTCTCTCCTCTTTGCCAAATTGCTGCAATTTAAGCCCGAAATAGTAATAATTGGGTGCCAAATTGCTGTTTGCGGTGAATGGGTGGTGAATTGGTGGTGAATGGGTGGTGAATTGGTGGTGAAATGGTGGTGAATGGGCGGTGTTTTGGGGTGAGTAAGGGTGGGTTCAAGGTGGATTGAGGTGAGTGGGAAATGATTTTCCGGTGTTTTGGGGTGAGTGGGGGGTGGTTTCGAGTTGGTTCAGGGGTGGTTTCGGGTGAGTCGGGTGGTTTTTCGGTGGTTTAGGGTGAGTGGAGGTGGTTTCAGGTTGGTTTTGCGGTGGTTCAGGGTGAGTGGAGGTGGTTTTGGTTTGGTTTTGCGGTGGTTCAGGGTAAGGGGAGTTGGTGGTGTGGGCTGGGAGTGGTGGCCGGCCGTTTTCGGAGGTTAAGGAGGGAGGCCGGCCGGATTTTGGTGGTGGCCGGGGGTAGGGGTTAGGGTTTCACGGTGGTTGGGGTGGCTGAGTTTTTTTTTTTTTTTTTTTTTTTTTATCTAATAAAAAAATGACTCGTGTACAATGTAGGGCCCATTAACGGTTTTTTGGATGGAAAACGTTAATGGGTAGTGCTACCCAAACGTTTTCAAACTTTCGGGTAGTTGTAAACAAATAAAAAAAAGGTAGCTCTTCACAAAACAGCCTATCTTCCGCATAGTTCTACACAATTTTCCCTAAAAAGTAAACTTGCTAAACTAGTAAGTGAAGCGATAAAAAAAGAATGGAGGAAGTATAAAAACCGTCTACCCGTTCCATTTTAAGTTCCCCGTTTGTCATATTTACCCAATAAACTTCGTTTTCCCGCTCTCTTCTCCCCTCAAGGTTTGTCTGCTCCTCTTTATCTTCAATCCTATCAAAATCCCCAATTTATTTAGGATTTACTGGCGATTTTAGGGTTCTCGACAGAAACTAGAATAGTTGAATTGTTTGGGGTTTAGGGTTTGAATTTTAATTTTCTCTTTCCTCTATTCATCTTCATTAATTGATGCTATAGATCAAGTGTTTGATTCTAGATCTTTTGAAAAAATTTCGCCAAGGACAGAGCTCGTCTTGTTAAGCGTTGCCATAAACCCGATCAAAAAGGTAATTTAATTTTCTCTTCGATTTTTAGGGTTGAGAAATTTTAAATTGTACTGTATCTTTATTTCATTAGAACATCTAATTTGATGCATATTGCTCATATAATTCCTATTTTCAGATGTAAATATTGCATGCTTTTATAAATTCAATGATAATATTGATATCTTTACGTTGTGTTGTAAGTAACTGAAGTTTGGGTGCTTTGTGATTTCTTGTATAATTACTAAATTAAGTTGCTTATTAAAGAAATTTCAACGGCTAGTGATTTCAGGGGCTATTTTCAGTGTAATTTGTGATCTGGATGGAGATAGCCTGCAGTTATGGTCGACAGTGCTTGCAGTGGTTGCAGGGAGCGAAGGGAAATTGGTTCTGCACTGTAATTTTCTCTATTTTTTGTTCTTTTCTTATTCAATTAATTTACAAAATTTGTGATTCTATAATTGTATTGTTCTAATTATTGCTCTTTTTTTTACTTTTTATTTGGGTGATTTTGTTCACATTTGCTTTTTATGAAATAGATTTTGTGAAATTCGATTAACTATGTTGAAATTCATGAATGATCCTGAATTCCTTATGCTTTACATTTGATATTTGTTGAGCTCTCGAGTATATGGGGTTTATAATGGGTATACTGTGAATAAATGCACATAAATTCATTGTCTACCAAATCGAATGACAGGAAATTCCAATGTTGTTTATGTTCTATCAAAATTGGAGCTTGATACTGTGGTTTTGAGTAAGAAGGGTATGGGACAAAAGCTTTAATAAGCTTGGTATTTTGCTGAAATTGTACTTTGAGGTAATATCTCATTTAATTTTTTCTTATTTTTGAATAAAAAGAATTTCCAGAGGCTTGCAATGAGGAATCTTCAAAGGAGTTGGAGTTGGAGTTGGAGTTAGAGTTGAAGCTGGAAGAAGTGACAACAAAATTAATAGCAGAGAAAGTTTCAGCTTCCTGGTTTATTCAACGAGTTTCTTTTACTTTGTACCTGTTTATCAATAAGTGACAAGCCTTGTTCTTTAAAATGATGGTGGTGGTGCTGTTCGTGCTACTCGGCTTGTGCTGCTGCTGCACACCAGTTTTGCTACTGCTATTGCTACCTACTGGTGCCACCACTGCTGCTACCTCCTATTACTTCTCTGGCCATCAAATCTCAGAGTTTATAATTTAGAGTATGTATTTTTGGGTGATTCTGTCGAACTTATTGTTGCCGCACTCCTGCTGCTGTCTGTTGCCTATCCTGTAGCAGTTGTGCTCCTACTGTAATATATGTGGAGCTGCTGAAATGCCTGTTGCTGTGCTTCTAATTGTATTTTTTTTATTTTTTATTTTTTTATTTATTTCTATTTTTTTATGAAAGTGTAACATTACTGGCATTTATTAATAAAAATATCTAATTCTATACTTGTACATATATCTATTTAAGTCTTTGTGTATCATTTTAATGTGCAATTTTGACATTTCTAATACTACTGTAGACACCTGATTGTGTCTCCCCAAAAACCAAACCTAGTGATGAGTACATTTCATGTCTTTAATTATTGGGTTAGCTGAAGAGTTGAAGAGTCCCGTGAATTTCCCTGAGTCTTGACCATTTTAAACCTTTTCTTATGTGTTCTAATCAAAAATCATTTATTTTGTGCATTTAAACTCAAAATAATTCATTTCGTGTCCTTAAAATAATCCTATTCGTGTCTAATATATAAAATTGTCCAATTTAGTTTATTTTGGTCCAAAATTTGGGTCTAATAATTGTGTAGTTGGATGAGTCTTGAAAAGAGTTTTCCAACAATATATTATAAGCCCATGTTTTTGAAAAGATTAAATTTAAGGATTTTAGTTCGGATAAAACACTTGTTTTTAATAGATTTAATTCTGATAAAATAAGGATATATAAGTACGGATATTCGACTAACCCAATTTGGTTGGAAGTCGGATTTTGTACGGATTTTATCTTCTGAAAGCATCGCGCAGCGATGCTAATATCACACAACGATATAAGCATCGCGCCGCGATGTAACTATCGTTACGCGATGAAAGGCGTTTTACTCCGAGTCGGATTCTGACCCTTTTTCTGATCTTTTCCCTCGTTTTTCCCTATAAATAAGGTTGTTTTCCTCCATTTTCATTCACCAACAATCATCATCTCTCTCTCCCTCTCTAAGCTATAAGCTTCTTCTCTTTCTTTCTTAGCCTTAGCCTAAACAAATCACACCATACGACCTTTGCGAGACTTTGATACTCCAAGCCCTTCTCGAAGTTGCCTTCGACCTCGACGTGGATGGTTGATATTTCTGAGGGTTTGGTCCCTAATCTATATTTAATTTCTTATTTAATTTAGGTGAGTTATTTGATATATTTCTTTCTTGAAGTTACTGATGTGTGTATTGTTTTGATAGAAAGAGATACGAGGCATCAAAGTGAGTAGATCTACTATCCTTATTCCTTTGATATAAGAATCATGCTCAGAATATTACTTTAATTCCTAGCATCATGTGAGGATGCTTAATTAATATTTTTAATATTATCATGCTTTCTAGTATGATGTTAGGGCGTTAATTTAATATTTCTAATATCATGCTTTCTAGTATCATGTTTAGGATAAAGCTTTGATCTTTATTATTTAGTGACATGCTAGGTTTGTTATTAATCCATTTAGTTATCATGCCTAGGATCTTGCTAATTATACTATTGATGATATTATTATGATGATTGTTGTGTCAATAATTATACGTTGCTTGATTATTCATATATTATTGTTATTGCTTGATCGCGCCTTTATGTAGGTTTAAAGGGAATTTGTACTTGAAATCATACCTAATAAGATAATTATTAATTTGGTTTTAGGCTAATATGATTTTAATTCAAGTGATCGCCAATAATAGATTTATTTGGGCATTAATCATCAATGAACGTAGATTAAACAGGTTTAGGGCTAACTTGTTGTATGTATGTTGATCGGAAAACGCACATGAATATCATAAGAATTAAGTAGAGGCCAATTTAGAGCGTGTTCAATTTCTTTTAGGTTGGATTCGTACCCTTATCCCCGAATATCCAGTCATGGTTCTGGACCACTATGGAGTTAGCGATCTCTGTGATCGTGAATGGGGTGTAACCTTCACACCCGTGAACGGTTTACAAGTTCCTAAAACTTGTTAGCGACTCTTTATCTCTAGCTTATTTCCCTTTGGATGCCACCATTCTTAAAGCATGATCACAGTGGGGCGCAAAGTTGAGTGTTTAAATATTACCTACAATTTTTTGGTGACTCCAATGTCGAGGATTTCTAATTTTGATTCCTAAAATTTATTTTGGCAATTAACTTTAGAATGAGTGGATGAGACTTGAAACGTTCTAGATATTCATGTGCGTAATTTTGATTAACATTGTGGCATAAGCATAAAAAGGTTCGTATTGGAAAGACCATCCGAAATGCGTTGAAAACATAGGAATTTTACACGTAGGAAAATTGGGAAATATCTTTCACAACTAGAATCGAAAAGATACTACGAAAAATCAGAAATTCTTAAGAACACATAAAGCTGTTGCGAAGTGTAGGAATTGTCGCGAGATGGCAGTGTCCATCGCGACGCGATGGGGTTATCGCTGCGCGATGGACCCTGTTTTCTCGCGCCGAATTCTTCCAACATCGAGCCAGAAATCTGCCTTCTTGTTTTGACCGATTCTAGTGCTGTCTCGCCAATTCTACTTCTTGATTGAGTTCTTCCTTCTTTTCTGAACCCATATGTGTTCTACATATGGCTTTAGCCCTTGGGAATTCACGCTCCATCTACCCAATCGAACGCTCCGTGCAACGGCGGTTACATTTGACTTTGTGAATTCACCAAACCATGGAAGCAAGTCTAACTTGTGGGGTCCCATCCATACGCGCCAACCCTTCCAAAGGTAAGACTTCCGTGCGATGCATCCGAACTCATAACCATGGACCCTTTTTGACCACCATAATCCTTGAACTTTCGAGAACTAGAGCCATGGTTAGGTCGCAAACTAATTGCATGTTGTGACTATTTGTCTACTTATGCATATCTTACTTGTGCATACCTTGTTTGTGATTAAACTAACCCTTTGTGTTGACTTGTTTCTTGTAAATATGTCTAAACATACTAACCAAGGACTTGTTTCTCTTATCTAACCCTCTTCTCTTTTTATCAAATCAAGTCATAATTCTTTTTTTTTTTTTCATTTTGAGTCAACCCATATTTTTTTATTCCCGTATCCTGCACAAGCGTCAACTTGTTTTGGTCATAGCCGGAATTCTAGAAAGAGTTACGAGTTGTATAACCCATGGACCTGTAGCCCCGGGTTTTATCTTTCATTTGGCGTTGGTTTCGTCCTAATCAAAGTCACAGATCAAAAGTTATGACTGAAATATTACAGCTTGTCCAGTTTAAAAGTTCTTGTTTAGCATCCAACCTTTTTTTTTTATTTCTTTTCGTGTCAGGTCTAATTTCCATAATTAACCAATTTAATGAATAAACGAGGTCTTTCTTTGGTCCCATATGAGTCTAACCACATGCCTAGTCACATGGTCATGACACGAGTCTTGAACATATCACTTTCACTCACAATTCTTAGCTCACACTTTGTAGATGTCTTTTTTCACACCATGATCGACCATGTCTTAGGTCCATGCATGAGTCGTTCTTTCCGTCATTTGAGTTAAGGGTCCATCTTATTCCCACAAATTTTCATATCTTTCCACATTCACATATACCTTCCTACATATCTTCCTACATGATCTCCCCATACATACCATTCACCCCATACACTATGATCTTTCCCCATTTATACATGTTGAATTGAGTCCAAGTCAAGTAATTGACAATGAGTGACCATGGTTTTCCTTTCCACAACATTTGGTCGAGGAGAGAAGGGCGTTTGATCAAGGAAAACAACTTCGTTCAAGTACTACTCTTTGATAGACCGATTCGACAAAGAAGAAAGTTCAGAATAATGACCAGTCAAGAAGAAGTTGATCAACTTAAGCTGATTGTCAATGGACTCGCTGAAATGCTTAAGGGGCTCATCACTCAAGTTAACGACCCTAGCAACTAAGTACCAGTCGAGACCATCAAACGCATAGAAGAAAGCTTGAGTCAAATGTCTAATGACTACAAGTACCATGGGATTAGCTCCAAAGGGTTCTTAGTGGATAAGGAACTTCTTCCACAAAAGTTCTCTACCAATGACATCCCTAACTTCAAGTCAACTGACAATCTTTACTTTCACCCAAGAGCTTTTGAAACAATCATGGGAATCAAGGGGTTGATAAGAAAGCTTTTCCCCCACTTTTCTCTCTTTCCTTGGACTCAGTATGTCAACAATGGTTCTTTTCTTTAAACTCCGAGAAAAGGGCTACTTGGGATGCTATTACACATGTTTTCATTGATAGATACAAATATAACATTCAAGTAGAAACTGATCATAGAGAACTTCCGCTAGGCTGATCGAAGTTCCAAGTGATAAGGAATCCGTAAGGATGTTCATTAAGAACCTCCAAGAGAAGCATCAAAAACATTTAAAATATCAACCTTTAAGCACTTTCAAAGCCGTCTATGACATATGCATTAACATCGAAGATAACCTCTTGAAGGCTAGTCACAATGGCAAGGGCAGGAAGAATGAAAATCCTTCTTCCGCTTCTTCCCATAGCAACTACGTTAACAACATCGATGCCGATGAAATCTGGGCCCTTGATAAAGACACTTCAAAAGCCAAGAAACCCAAAAGGGAATTAACACCTATTGGAATGACCTATGATGTTGCTTTCGATCGTCTCTACGATCGAGGTTTAACCAAACCTATTAGTCTCACTGAGGATCCAATGCCAGAAAAGAAATCTTCAAGATGGAATCCCAACTCATATTTCAAGTACCATCGAGGTAATGGTCATACCACATATGAATGTTACAGGTTTCAAAACCTCTTTCAAGATCTCATCGATGCAAACAAGCTTCTATTTCCTCCAACTGGCAAGAAGACCGAGTGATGATAAGCATAAGACACGAGGCAGGCTTCAATGAAAAGATTTCATGATTCTTTTCTTATTTTTGATTTCCCCTTCCCCTTAAAAAGTCTAGCATAGGCACCCTTCATTTTCCTTAGATTTATTTCTTATAGTTTGATTTTTACACCCCTTGTCTTTTTTAATAAAATAAGCATTTAGTTCCTTGTATATTACATTGCATTGCATTACATTTTACTTATTTAATAAAAATAAAAAAATAAAAAAATAATAAAAAAAAGTAAATAAAATAAAATAAAATCTTGCCGAGCTAAACATAAGGTATACCAATGATTTGAGGCACCCCTTGTAGCCACATCATATCACCTTTACCCTTTTGAATATACAATCTTTTCCTGATAAACCACTTTGAGCCTCGCCTAATGATTGGCCTTTCATTTTTTCAGCCCACATCTACCTAACCTTGGGATGGGATGGTGT